AAAATGCGTGAGGTGGGTGGATGCAAATGCTAGACATCAGCTGTTTATATCTGGATAGTGAGTGCTTCTGTCCTTCAGGGGAAATCTGATTAGTGACCAAAGCATCCAGTGAAATAACTTGACACTAAAATATCAATTGGCACTATTACTTTAAAGCTTTACCAGACCTACATCTCCAGAAAGAAGATGAAAACAGTCTCTTCATGGGTTTGTCATTTTTCCCCAAGAAGGCTTTCTGAAAGGTGTGTTTCAGTAATAAAAATAATTAATGAAGTCTCAAGTCCTTAAACGGTAGAACTATTAACTGAGAAATAAAATGATTCTAAGAAATCTAATATTCTTTAGCATTCCTAAATCTTTTTCTTCCTCCCTAATATTACAGCTATGGCATTTTGATATGCAAGTGCTCTGATACCACACCCAGCACCTAATCACACTGTCCAAAATTTCTTCTTCTCCCAGTTCCATAAGCCATTATAGGTTTGCAAAAACCTGGTTTCACTCTACAAAAGATAATAGGAGGTAATGCAAATGAGATGGGTATGAAGGAAAAACTAAAAAGAGCAAAATTAGTTTGTTTTTTTTTTTGTAAAGTCAATGAGATTTACGCCTTGGGGTGATGACACCAATGTAGTCTTCTTGTCACAGTTGTTGAATTCATATAATGAAAGTTAAGTGAATAATGGCATGCTGACCAGACCATAAAGTTTAATAAGTGTGTGATATTTGTTTAATATTTTCATGAACTATATTTAAAACAATGGAAAGTTTGTCCTATGAAAGAAATGTCAAGAACAGATCCTAAGTGGAAATTATAACTAAATTTATAATTATGGCATTTGTAATTATGGCACACAGGATTGAGCACTTCATTGTCATTATAACATATTTTGGAGGATTCAAGGAGGGTTTTGTTGGAGGCAAGGGTGTCAGAAATGTGCATAGGATGCAGTAGCTGCATCAGTTTACAAGACTATTGTTGGCATTTTAAGATAACCTGGGTGGAACAATTTCCAATTTTGTTTTTTATGTTTTGTTTTTATCATTGTTATTTGTGTCTCCAAGGGTGAGTCTTACTAGACACCTGATGCTCCAAGCAGGGGAGATTTTGAGAACTGTTCATGTCAGGGGTCTTTTTTAATGGGGCTTGCAGTACAGGGAACATTTTTATTGCAAAACTCTTGGATGGAGCACTATATGCATTGCATAAAGAGAAATTTTTCACATGTTTCTACTGAGATTCATGCTTCATGACAACAGATAGATAATGTTTCTCAAGACTGAGGATATGATCAATTGCTTTTGTGACTTTATCATGAATTCTAGGCACAGTGACGATATTTCTGTTTGAGGTCCCTTTTGGAGAGAAACAGATGTCTACTTGGAATTGATTCATGATTTTATGAATGTTTTTTCCATGGAATCCAATAATGTGGCCATAAACATTATGGTTTAGTGGGATTTGCTTAATAACTATTTTTTCAATCTTATGTACCATTTTGATTATTGCATCCCAGGCAGCCATGGTTTTGTTTTCATATCCAGCGATGATGATGTGGTCTTGTATCTCATTGCTCTCTTTATTTGGAAAATGGGTGGTAAATTCATGGTCTAAGCAAATTTGAGCAATAACTAACCCCTTTTGACCAATGATTTTGGAGTGATATTTGGGGTCTATAGTAAATTTTAGTCTAAAGTTTCTTAATGATCGATCTTCTACTTCAGTTTGTAAAGCCTTGACTCATTCTTGTAATCTAGACTTGGCTTGTTCCACATTTGTAGCAAGGCCAGTAATGGAAGTGATATCAGACTCTAGTCCAGATGCTGATACCTATATATTAACTTCAAATGCATCTATTATCATGTGTATTTCACTTCCTTTCTGACTAGTGGTATAACAATTAAGTTCAAAGGGCACTTCTAAGTCACCAGTGATAGGAATTAATGCTTCAACAACTTTCACAGCTGCTTCACATTTTTCCTTTTGGCTGAGATAAATATGGTGTCACATTTACTTAGGGAAATAGAAACAAGATTAGCACTCTTTTTCTCAGTTTCTTCCCCATTTTCCTGAACAGCTGGCTCTATATTAGTAACTGGATTTTCTTCTTTTTTTAATTTCTTTATTTTTTTTATTTCAACTTCTTACGGGGATACAAATGTTTAGGTTACATCTTTGCAATTGTGAATTGTGCTACTATAAATATTCTAGTGCAGATGTCTATTTTATGGATTGTCTTTTGTTTCTTTGAATACATGCCCAGTAATGGGATTGCTGGATCAAATGGTAGTTCTACTTGTAGCTTAAAATGTTTATACTACTCAGAATGATCTACAGATTCAATGTAATCCCTATTAAAAACCAACATCATTTTTTGCAGATCTAGAAAAAAATAACTCTACACTTTATATGGAACAAGAGAAGACCCTGTATAGCAAAATCAATCTTAAGCAAAAAGAACAAATTGGGAGGCATCAATTTACCAGACTTCAAGCTCTACTACAAGACTATAGTATAGTATTGTGTGCCACAATACTATAGTCTCACAATACTGGCACAAGAATCGAGACATAGACCAATGGAACAGAACTGAGAACCCAGGTATAAAACCAGCCTCATATAGCCATCTAATCTTTGACAAAACAGACAAAAACATACACTGGGGAAAAGAATCCTTATTCAATAAATGGTACTGGAAAAACTGGATAGCCACATGTAGAAGATTGAAACAGGATCCACACATTTCACCTCTCACAAAAATCAACTCACAGTGGATAACAGACTTAAACCTAATGCATGAAAGTATAAGAATTCTGGAAGAAAACATTGGAAAACCTCTTCTAGACATTGGCCTAGGCAAAGTATTTATGAAGAAGACCCAAAAGGCAATCATAGCAACAACAAAAATAAAAAAAATGGGACCAAATCAAATTAAAAAGCTTCTGCACAGCCAAAGAAGCTATCATGAGAGCAAACAGACAACCTACAGAATGAGGGAGAATATTTTCATGCTATACATCCAAAAAAGGGCTGATAACTAGAATCTATATAGAACTCAGGAAAATCAGCAAGAAAAAAATCAAACAACTCTATCAAAAAGTAGGTAAAGGACATGAACAGAAAATTTTCAAAAGGAGATAGACTAACAGTTAACAAACATGAAAAAATTCTCAATCTCTAATCATCAGAGAAATACAAATCAAAACCTCAATGAGATATCACTTATCTCCAGTAAGAATGGCATTTATCAAAAAGTCCCAAAACAATAAATGTTGGCATGGATGCAGAGAAAGAGTAACTGGATTTTCATTCCATTCTGGAAATTTACTTTGAACATTGTAATCTCTAAAATTTAGCAAATGCCGGAACACACTGGTCCCATGACAAAATGATGGAACTTCTGAAGAATAACACATTCTGTTGTAACTTTTGTGTCCAAGTCATCAATAATGTCCTGCATATGTTTCCTGGCTGCTTCTACACAAGGCTTTGGTCCTCTGATTGTAACTTTGTTGCTTTGTTTTCCTGAACATGGAAAGTTAATAATCACACCACCATACTCCTCAGTCATCTGCCATAAAACCTGGCCCTTTCTCATGATAAAATGATGGTGGTACTTGGGATTTACCAGCATGTTGTCTTCTAGCACAATATGTAGATTTTTAATGAAAGACTCTACTTACTTTTGTGTACCTTTGGCAGCCTCCTCTGTCCCTGTGATAGTTAACAATTCTTGATCTTTGTACTCAGGAGTAGGAAAAATTACATGTGCTCCATCCAGTTTCATTATTGACTTTGGAAACACTGGCACAATATTTACTTAGGAGTAATTAGTGATACCGTGGTTTAACATTGAGAGTAACAGCATAACTTCTGGTTTTTTTCTTCTGCTAGTTGCAGTAGCTTTTTCTTGGCTTTTTCAACATTTCCGACAGGGCCCCTAATAATGACTCTTTGAAGGCCTGAGTTGTTTCTTGAAAAATGAATGTGTATCTTTCCACATTGTTTCATGACTGAACCAATCAAACAATCTTTGGAATCAGTAAGGAATTTGTGTAGATTGGATGGAACAGGAATTTCCACTTCTGAAATATTGGCTATTCTGAACTGAAAGATTCCAGTTATGAGCAACTTCACAGTTTTCTGGCTTTCCACTGATGACGATATTCTCAGAGTTGCTACCTACTGATGGAAGATTAATCTTGGTGTTGCTTCACAGGTGTTTTTTGACGTTTGTACCTCCTTTTCCAATGACATTTTTGTGAAGCTTTTTAAATATGTGAATAGTTATGCAATAGCTATTTTCTACAATGTTTGTCATCACAATCTCCAAATACTGCATGCATTCTTCTAATTTATGTTTTGGCCCTCTAAATTGGATAATGTCACTTTTCTGTGCTGGGTCTGAAAAATTAATCATAACCTCTGGGAATTTATGAATGTCATGGGTCTGTTTATTTTTCCACCCAATTATTGTGAAATGATACCTTTGCTCAATTTTTAAATCCTTATTGTGCCCATTGTCTACATTAGCAGCAAGCTCAAGAAGCTCTCCTGGCCTGTTGGACAACAATTAGTTCCCCCTCAATTATGATCAAGTTATTCTTTTCATTTTCAGGTAAGATTAACACTAAAACCTTATTTATCTTTTTAATTCTGTTTATGATAGCACCATTCTTCCTTATCAGGTGCTTGTGAAATTTATAGTCAATATTGATCTCTGCATATTCCATTCTGTTAGTTAGATGTTTAACTATGACCTTAATTTGTTCCTGAACATAATTCACATCTACTATTGGTCATATTGGGTTAATTTTATCTTCTCCAGTAAACTCTATGAGGAACTTTGGCATGTTTTGAGTTATTGTGGATATATTCTGACCTTTCTTACCAATAATAAATCTGTGAATCCAGGAAAGTGCAAAGATGGAGGAAACAATATAACACTTGACCTTCTGATAAACTTCAGAAAATACCACCTCTAAATTTTCAAGCTTACCTTGGTGTGCCACAGAATCTGATGTGCCCTTTGAGTATGAGATCTCTATTGAATCTCCAATTATTTCCAGGATCTCCAGCATGAAATTGCTCTTGGATACTATGGTACACACATACTGCAAATTCATCTCCATGTCTATGGTTTTTGTTTTCTTTTTGGTATTCTCAAAAATATCTTTTACATAAGCCTTGACCTTATCCAGTTGTTGCTGTCTTCTGATAAAAGCTATTTATGTCTCATTGGCTGAGTGGTAGAATATGGATGTGTGCCTTTGTTTCTTGTATGATGGTATTAATCATTTTATTGCATGGCTCAGTAATGAGGGGATCAAATACCTTTTCCACATCTAGCCTCTCTATAGCACACTTGTCTTGTTCAATAGACATAAGCAAGACATTGTGGGGAGCTTTCTTCATGACCTCTTTTGTGCCAATATTATTGGTCCAATTGCTGTTGTTATCTGGGCATAAGATCTCAGTGTTAGTTGCAGCTCTTTACTCCAAGTCTTATAGTTTTTATCCTGTCTTGCTTATAACAAAGCAATAATGTTCTTTGGGAATGGAAACTGGAGTTAAAACCTGTTCCTGGAACCAAAAAAAAAAAAAAAAATCCTTCTCAGCTTTTATGAAACTTTCTGGATTACCAGAGACTGTAATGTGGAGATCTTTGTTTTTGACATAAGTTAATTCTAGATTGGCACCAGTCTAGATAGAATTTTGGTTCTCTGCCTTCAACATGAATCATATACTTTTCTCTTCTCAAGGCACATAAAAGACTGAGTGATGACTGAGGTTGTGGTAGGTTTAATATTAGTGCCCAAGGACCCAGCAGGCTCCTGAGGATTTTCCAAATAATTTGTTTTCTCTAGGTGTTGAGTGAATTCATCTCTGTAGGGTGGAATGCTAAGCTCCCCTTCTGAATTTAGAGTGGAAACATAATTTTCTTTCTGAATGTACTTTCTTTGACATTCATTCAATTTTTTTTTTTTTTGGTGCTCATTGTTGATTTTAAATTAGACACAATCCAGATATGTTGTAGCTAAATAGTGAGCAGCAAGAAAATTCCTCTTGTAGCTGTCTTTTTGCATATTGCTGTATGGGAAGAATAAACATTTTAAAGATGCAATTCCTTTTCAAGTTAATCTATAAACTCAAGACAATAAAATGATATTCTAATATTTATATAATTTCACAAAAAGTCCAAGGTCCATCTATTCTACTATTATGTGAATACCAAGATAGGGTTCAAACTGTAAGAACTGTGAGAAAATACCCATCATTTTGCTAAAGGAAAGCTACTCTTTAATTGTTGTTATCACAGCCATCAACAACTCTCATTTTGCCAAAGCCAGTGTCATCAATTTTTGACTCTTAGCAACATCTGGCACTGTTGGATGAAAATTACTTTTGGAAAAATGTAATTCTCTGGTCTCTAAGGATACTAGATCTACCTGGCTTTGCTGTTTTTATTAACAACTTTATTGAAGAATAATTTATAAATTCACACAGTTTGTATGTACAATTCAGTGCTTTTTAGTAAGTTTAGAGTGCTGTGCACCAATCATAACAAATCCATTTTAGAATATTTTCACCACCCTAAAGGGATACCTCATGCTAATTTGTAGGCTGTCCCCATTTTCAACAAGCACCCAGGCAAACACAATTTTTTTTCTATAAACTTTCCTGATCAAGACATTTCATAAAAATAGCATCATACAGTAAAAAGTGTCATTTTCACTTCAATTCTTTGTCCTAACATAATGTTTCTGAGGTTCATGCATGTTATAGCATGTATTATTAGGGTGCTCCTTGTTATTGCTGAATAAATAACATTCTACTTGTATTTACTTTTACCTTAATGACTGTTGTGATTTAATCTCTTTTCCTGACTACACGTCCTCTAGTGGAACTCTATATATTGAAGTTTTACAGGCTGCTTTTTTGAACTAACATTTTTTCTTTTACATTTTTTTCCTTTTTTTCAGACTCATAATTTGAACATAATTGATATGCTGATGATTCTGAAATCTATAACCCCAGTCAAGAGTTGCAATGTGTATCTGAATAAGCCTTCTTAACTGTACCACTTGAAGGTCTAATAATCATTTCAATTTAATTCACTCAATTAACTCTTAATTATTTCCCTAGGTTTTATCCTTTTGGAATATTTTGGAACTTAAAAAAATAGCACTTGACTTTCTCCCTATTGTTTAGACCACGTACTTGATGTCATCTTTGTTTTCTCACTTTCTCTTACATAACACATACAAAATATTAGCATTTTTGTTAATCTAAGTCTGACCTTTTATTATTTTCCAATCTACATTTCTAGTCTAAGCCACCATTTCACTATGGCAACAAGTCCTGAAATGCTATACCTGCTCCTACTTTTGGCCTTCCTTGGCCTATTCTCCACAAAACAGCCAAATATGTTTTGATAAAGCAGAATAAATTATACTTTTTTCCTTAACAGCTTCTAATGGAGTCCCATTACAATTAGAATAAAATAAAGTCTATTAACTGAAACTATATGAAATTCCCAGTATTTGACTATTATTACCTACAGAAGAGAAATTTGACTAAATTTTTTCATTGGATTATTAGGTCTTTTAGTGCCTGATCCTTTTCCACCTTACTGATCTCATCTACTACCGTTTTTCTCCTAGTTCATTATGATACTGCTAAACTGGTCCATCTGTTGCTTGGCCATATGTTGTGCATTTTTCCTTCCAGGCTGTAGCACTTGCTACTCCATCTGTTGGAAAACCAATTTTCCAAAGGCCTCCTGTAGTTTCCTTCTTTCATAATTCAAGACTAATTCAACGATCATCTGCTGAGAGAATACTTCCATGTTAGATCTGACTAAAACTCTCCACTCTATCCTTTTGCTCTTTTCACTATGACCCATTTTATTTTCTTCAAGCACACAATTAGAATCTGTCTCTGTATTTTACCCCTAATTCCTATTCCTCTGCATGTACACATTGGGATGTAAGCTCCTTAATTTCAAAAATTTGACTTATTCGTTATTGTATTTGCAATGCCTAGTAGGGTGTGTGTTATTCCCAAAACACTAAAAATATATGTTATGCCTATTTGACAACAGTAAAAAAAGATAAGCAAAAGATCAGAAAACATACAACAGAAGAATATTCTACTGAATATAAAATGGCACTAAAAATCAATAACAACAAAGTAGAAAATGGATGCTAGATGTGAACAAAAGATAAAAATATGAATGGCCAAACACTTAACAAAATTAGCAAAAATTAGTTCAGATTCTCTAATATTCAGAGAAATACAAATAAAATAACTGTAATATTACCATCTCCATGGTACTAGCAAATATTAAAACATTTAACCATACTAAATGCTGGGACAATCCTTACTCTCAATTACTATATTGATTTTATTGCTAACCTGTACCAAATAGTTCGTGGAACTGTACTGATCAGTTGACCACCATTTGAGCAGCAATAAACTAGTATAGACAAAGATATGGAAGAAAGGCATTCTGGTAATCCAAGTGTCAATCGGTGGAATCAATTTTGGGAGAAATTTGTCATTACATAATAAATTGTGCATACTCTTTATCCCAGGATTAAATTTCTAAGAAGAGAAAACACATATCTACTTCTATCATGGAACATTTATCATGATGCTCATATCAGAATTGTTCACATTAATAAAAAATTAAGAAGAGAAACATAACCATGAATAGATATTTATTTATTGAGATATTTATATATTTTATCCTTTCAATGGAATTTTCAATATGTAATGAAATAAAATAGAATATCATGTATCAATATATAGAGAGATACCAATAACCAAAATATTTAGTGAAAAATGTTTTATAATATTATAGCATCATACCATCTCTAAATTTAAAGTCATATTTACATACTAATGGTGCTACACTTTGTGGATATTTGGTGTGTATATTTGTGACTACATAGTAAAAGTCCTTAGAATATGCCTAGAAATAAACAAATGGATATGGGACTAAGGCTGGAATACAGCGGAAGCTTCTGTACAACAATGGAAACAATCAACAAAGGAAGAGACTACACACAGAATGGGAAAATATAAGTACAAGCTATCCATTTGACAAGCAATTAATAACTAGAATATAGAAGGAGCTCCAAAAACTCAATAGGAGGATAAAATCAAATAATCTGATTAAAAATAAGCAAAGGATTTGAATAAACATTTCTCAAAAGAAGGCATACAAATGGTCAACATGTATATGAAAAATTGCTCAACATCGTTTGTCATCAGAGAAATGAAGATCAAAATGTCAATGAGTGATCCAGCAATCCCATTGCTGGGCATCTACCCAAATGATCCAGTGACACTCTACAAAAAAGACACCTGCACTCGAATGTTTATAGCAGCACAATTCATAATTGCAAGGCTGTGGAAACAGCCCAAGTGCCCATCAATCCAAGAATGGATTAATAAAATGTGGTATATGTATACCATGGAGTACTATTCAGCTCTAAGAAACAGTGGTGATATAGCACATCTTATATTTTCCTGGTTAGAGCTGGAACCCATACTACTAAGTGAAGTATCCCAAGAATGGAAAAACAAGCACCAGATATATTCTCCAGCAAACTGGTATTAACTGAGTATAATTAACAATAAGCAGGCCAGGCATGGTGGCTCACGCCTGTAATCCTAGCACTTTGGAAGGCCCAGGCAGGCTGATAGTTTGAGCTCAGGAGTTCAAGACCAGCCTGAGCAAGAGCAAGACCCCCATCTCTACTAAAAAATAGAAAGAAATTAGCTGGACAACTAAAAATATATAGAAAAATTAGCCGGTCATAGTGGTGCATGCCTGTAGTCCCAGCCACTAGGGAGGCTGAGGCAGAAGGATCACTTGAGTCCAGGAGTTTGAAGTGGCTGTGAGCTGACACTATAGCACAACAGAGTGAGACTCTGTCTCAAAAAAAAAAATACAATAAGTTAGGGTGTACTTTAAAATAACTAAAAGAATGGATTTGAAATGTTCCTGCTACAAAGAAATTATAAATGCCTGAGGCAATATACCAATTTCCTGATTAGATTAATTCACATTATATGTCTGTATCAAAACATCACATGTGCTCTATAAATATATACAACTATTATGTACTCATAGTAATTAAAAATAAATTAAAAAAACCAAAAATACATACCAAAATTTTTACCAATATCAGCCATTCAATAGGGAACATCAAAAGACAACTTTAATTCATTGTAAAGATAACAAGGGTATATTTTTAAACTCTTGTTTTAAAGGCAATATTATTTAAACTATACCTGGAGGAAGACTATTTCCACAAGATGTTTAAGGTTATACCTAAAAAATAAATTATTGATTAAATAATTTTTTAAAAATTCAGTTTAACAAAATTGAACAAGTTGTACCTTTGGGAACATTATTTCTCCAATTTACTAGACATCAGGACATTTGTTATACTTTAGGTTGTCAAAAATCATATTTAAGTGCCATTATTTCATGAAAAAATAGTTGAGAAATTACTTTAAAGGATTTATCAAGAATAAAAATATATGTAAAGGGAGGGAAGGAAGCTATTCCAAGTGCCTTATTTTCCTGGACACCATGTCCCCAAATACTTAACATTTTCTCACAGTTAAATCTCTGACTATAAGTGTATAATGATTATTTTAAAAGCTAACAAGTGGAGTCAGATATTTCTATCCAATTTTCTAAAAAATTACCCTGTTTGAGCAACTCTACCAGAAGTAATCAAGATTTTTCTAAACTGTCTTTCAGTGCAAAATAAGTTTGGAGCAGAAAAATAACAAAAAGATTTCTTAAAAAAATATTTTATATGTTGTTCTACCTTACTGTTTCTCTGAGTCCAATTATATGCAGTATCTGTTTGGTTGGTAAATTTCTGAAAGCACAAAATTACCTTCCTAGTGTCCACAATAATTTGAGATGACAACTTCGTGGGACTGCTTTTTTAACTGGATATGTATTGAAAAGTTAAAGGCAAAAATGTTAGTCTTCCATTACTTGAAACTCATAATAATTCTATACTTAAAATGCAGTATTCATCCTCAAACAAATGCATGAACTGAAATGTACAGACATTGGGATGTAGTTTATTTATGAGGTTTTTAAAACAAAGAAAGAGCCTGTACTCCAAATAAAGTTCAGAACTCATGGCAAATTTAGATACTTAGCTCATCCACACAATACTATTGCCAGGAAAATTCAAAAGGATTGTCTTTAATCTGCTGTCAAAATAAATGGATCAATTATTACTTTCAGAACTTATACTCTCAAAAAATGAAAATAAAAATTAGAGTATAATATAAATTTCCAAGCAGAGAATAATATACATCATCAGTGGAATTTTTAGGTAGAAGTAATTTGAATTGTTTGAAAAGATTTTATTTACTTCCAAATTCAGCAGCTTAAAAAAAAATTATCCAGTTTTTACTTGTAGACCTGAAGAGGTAAGAACATTTTTTATTTCTGTTTTATATTTTTAAATTATTTTTAATTACAAAATATTAAAGGGATACAAATGTTTGTGGTTATATGGATTGTTTTTGTAATGCTTGAGCCACAGCTGTAAGTGTGCCCATCAGCAAAATAGTGTTCGTGGTACCCCTTAGGTAGGTTTTCATGATTCTCCTCCTTCCTACTCCCCTCTGCTTGTCTTCCACTGAGTTTTACTTCCCTGTGTTCACATGTACGCTCATCAGTTAGATCCATTTTAATAGCAAGTGCATGTGGTGTTTGTTTTTCCATTCTTTACACATTTCATTTAGGATAATGATCTCTAGTTACATTCACATCGTCGCAAAAGGTATTAATTCATCTTCTTTATGACTGAGTAGTACTCCATGGTATACATATACCACATTTTGTTAATCCATTCATGAACTGATGGACACTTGGGTTGATTCCAAATCTTTGCAACGGTAAAATGTGCTGCAATAAACATTTGAACACAGGTGTCTTTTTTATAAAATGACTTCTTTTCCTTTGAATATATTGCCAGTAGTAGGATTGCTAGATTGAATGATAGGTCTACCTTTATTTCTTTGAGGAATCACTGCACTGTTTTCCATAGAGGTTGTACTAATTTGCAGTTCCACCAACAGTGTATAAGTGTTCCTTTCTCTCTGCATCCACACCAGCATCTATTGTTTTGGGACTTTTTTTTTAATGATGGACTTTGGCACTAAGAGTTAGTGGTATGCACACACATGCACGCATGCATACACGCACATACACAAATACTCTCAGAAAGTCTTATAAATATTTTAAAACCTAGTAATCTGACAATTAAAAAATTCCTGATTGCAACAAAAAATTTCAATAAATATGGGGTGTTTCTTATTTGTATAAACTTAAGTGATTTTTATATCCAAAAGACAGTGGCTTGTATATTAAATTTAAAACTTAACCATTAATATATTGTGCAAACCTATAAACACCATTACGTGTGTGTGCACACATATTTTACCTGTAAATGGTGAATTATCAGACAGGTCTAAATTATCTCTGAAGCACTGTGGACTTAAAGGTTGTCAGAGCAATTTGTGCAAAATTTTGAACAACTATGTTCCATAAAATATTAAACCCAACCAAGGTACACTAGCATACTTAAGATATATTCCACTCAATTGATGAATAAAATTAGAAAATCTAAAAGAGAAAATATTTATAAAATTCTGGTGGTGAAATAAACCACATAGAAATGAATTATGAGGAGAAATAAGAGATGGCATACACAGCAGATTCTAGAAAAAAAACTCATCATCTAATATGATAATAACAGGCAAATATCAAAATACAATCAAGTAAAAGTTTCAAATTATGAAAAAAGAAATCCTAAAAAAAGGTCCATAAAGAAAAATATGATGACTGCATAGGCTGAATTATCAGACTGGTCTGAGTAGGCTCTATACCACTGTGCATCCATGGGGTACCAGGACAATTCAGATGGAATTATTATGGACTTTGTGACTTGACATAGAAAGCCAACCACATCAGGAACATGTCCACAGAGGTGATGTTCATGTTAAATCTACACAACATTCAAATAATAGATCAAAATTGAATAGATGTATATAAATATAGATATGACATATTTACAGAAATATATACATGATATTAATATGAAAACACACACAATATTAGCAGAATTAGTAATTATATGTGTAAAAGTATGATGGTCCCAGAAATTAAAAATATGAATAACTTGTGAAGATATATTATATTTAACAGAATACATAATTAGAAAATGACAATATGCAGATGCATCTGGAACACTTACAAAAATCAAGAATGAAGAGAGAAATATCTGCCCTGACATGGTTGTACTGTCAGACTGGTCTGAGATGACTCTATCATTGTGTATCGGAAGACTGCTTGAGCAATTTAGAATTTTGGGCAATGCTGGGACTTCACCATGAATAATCCAACCAACCTGACTACATGCACAGAGTACTAGGTTTGAGGTCTGGCCTAATATAGAATATATAAGTGCTAGATATAAATTCAGAAACATAAAAATGTGAACAGATATTATTAGATAAAATATGTGGTTATAAAAAATGTAAGAAATGAATAATTTGCAATGTGTGATAATAGAATGTAAATGATAAATAAGGGAAATGACTGAAAAATAGACCATTACAATTAGAATTTAAAAAATTAAAATCCTGAACTGAAGATGTAAACCAAGCAAATATCAAACACTATGCCAGAGTAATATAAAAGGAGAGAAACCAATATCTAGATATAATCTGATGGAATATTCAAAGGTCAAGGATAAAGATAGAAACTCACAAATATCCGTAAGAGATAAAACTTTATTAGTTGAAGAGGATGAATAATCAAACTGGTCTAAGGTAGCTCAGAAGCAATGTGTATATGAAAGTTTCCAGGACAATTTAAAATTTTGAGGAATTTTCTAACATCTCAGTGAAAAAGCCAAACAATATGGCCACATGCTTCCAGTTCTAGGATTAGCCTAGGCTAAAATTGAATATAAATACAAATAATAGATATATATTTTTAAAAATCAAAAAGAATAAGAAAGACATACTGATATTATGATATAAAATATATGATGATTAAGGAGATAAGATGTGAATACTTTACAAGTAGTGATAACAGAGTAACAAGAGCATATAAAATTGCTAAAAATAGATGACTGCAATAAAATAATTTTAAAAAGAAGAAAAATATCAAAAACTAAAGATGTAAACCAAATATCACCCTATGTAAAGAAAGGAAGCCGATGTCTATACATCATTTACTGAAATTTTCAAAGATCAAGGATAAAGTGAGAAAATGACAAAAACCAGCAAAAGTAAAAAATGTATTACATGGAAAGGGTGAATTATCAGACTGGCTTCACATGGCCATAAAGCACAAGGTACATTAAGCTTGCCAGGATAACTCGGAATTTTGAGGAAGTTTTAAAAAGACATTCACTGTTATTAATATAATATTAATATTAAATATATTCTAATTGAAGAGATAAGAAATGAAAATTTTTGAAAAAGCAATAATAGAGCAATAAGCATATATGAAGGGAAGTTGCCAAAAATATGCCATTACAATTAGATTTTGTTAAAATTATAAAAATTTTCAGATCTGAGAATATAAATCAAATATCAGACCACATAAAGAAAGGAAACTAATATTTAGACATAATTTAGTTAACTTTCAAAGATCAAGAATAAAGTTAGACAACATTGCTCAGCCAACAGACCTCAACCACTCCCATCTGATTCAGTAGGTATATGAATGAAGTAGTCATGATGGCAGGGATAGAAGATGTTCCTGGCCACTTACCATGTTTCTGAATAGCTGCTACTAAATGCCCAACTTGCCAGCAACAGAAGTCAATGTTGATCTCCAATATTGCACCATTCATATAGGATCTTTTTGGTCAACTGATAACATAAAGATTAGATTGGAGCCTTCACTTACTGAGAAAGAGAAGCAAATTATTTTGTAAATATATATATATATATATATATATATAATGAATATAGTCTTTCTTTTCATTCTTGTGGAGCCCGGGCCAGTACCACCACAAAGTGGTTTACAGAAAATTTAATCCATGGATACAGAATAACACATAACACTACTTTAGATCAGTAGATCTATTTTACAGCAAAATAAGAGCAAGAGTGATTTCATGACCATGAAATTCGCTTGTCATATTATATAGCATACAAACCAACACCTGCCAATTAGGCAAAATAATGATATAGCCTGTTGAATACACAGAGAGAAGTTTCTTGAGTACTGAAAATGTTCTATATCTTGATTAGCTTGGAAGTAACACGAGTGTGTTCACTTCACAAAATGTGTCTAGATGTACTTTTCAGATTTGAGCAATTTCCTATTTGTATTTATATCTAAAAATGTGCCAAAAAAGTAGGCAAGTGTTGTAATTTGAATACCAAACAGGGTGGATGTTGGGCCAGGTAATATTAAATAAATAAAGCAGAACACTATTATAATACTAAAAAAAAATAATAAATTCAGAAAACTACAAAATACAGAAAAGATAAAAACTACATTTCCTGGACAGGATGAATTATCAGAATGACCTAAACTGCCTCAGAAACATGGTATATGAAAAGTTACAGGACAACTTAAACAGAATTTTGAGGGAGTTTATGAGCTCACAATGAAAAAGTCAACCAAGATGACCATATGATCACAGAGATAGGATTGGCCTTTATCAGGATATTAAGGGTATATATAAAGACAAGTGATAGATATAAATTCAATGACAAGGGGAAAAAGTAATAAAAAATAAATTCAGATATTATGGTATAAAACATATTAGAATTAAAGAAATATAAAATATATGATACAGAAAGAGAAATATTAGAGTGACAAGCATATATGAGAGGTTGTTGAAAAATAGGACATTACAATTACATTTTAAAAAGTAATTCAGGATTCCATTGTATGTGTATATCAAAGAAAATAAAAGAAAAAAAAAAGTAATTCAGGAGACATAAATGTAAAGAAAAGTCTTACCATATGTGAGCATAATCATAAAGGAAAGATGTCAATATTTAGATATAACCTACTAGAAATTCCAAAAGTCTATAATAAAGTGATAATCCCATAGAAATCACAAAAAAGTAAAAGTATATGACATGGACAGGATGAATTATCATATTGGCCAAAGCTAGCTCTAGAAAACTGTGTACATGAGAGTGGCCAGGACCACTTAGACAGAATATTGAGGGGTTTATGACCTCATGATGAAAAAGCCAAGTTGAAAACACATGCACAGTAAGAAGACGGGCTGAGTCTAGATTATTAAAGATATAAATAAGCAAGTGACACACATAAATTCAAGACAATTTTTTTTAATTTAAAAGGCATGTGGAAAATATGGTTAAAAATGTAATATGATTTAATAGATAAGACATAAAAGATTTACAAGAAGCAATAATAGATAAGTATATATAGAAGTTGCTGTACAAAACCATCAGAATCATATTTTGAAATAAAAAATCATACATAAGGATATAAATCATTAAAATATCAAAACATATAAAGAAAAAAGCCAATAATTACACAAAGTATATTGGATATTTCAAAGGTCAAGGGTACAGTATGAGATCTACAAATTGAGAAAGGCTATAAATATATTACATAGAAAGGGAAAATTAAAAGACAAGGCTAAGGTCACCCACTCTAAACACTTACAGGCAGGTTACCAGGATAACTTAATATATGGGGAGAGTATCATAGCTTGCAGTTAAATAGCCAAGAAAGATGGCCACATGTGCTAAGATTAACTTAGATGAAAATACTAAAGATATCTATATATATATATAGATAGATATATAGATATACACATACACAGAAGTGATAGATTTAAAGTCAAAGAGAAAATTAATTAAAAAGGTAACAGATAATACGATATAACATACAGTATAATTAAAGATATAAATGAATACTTTGAAAGAGCAATAGAAGATTGGCATACATATACAAAGGAAGGTGCTGATAAATCAGCAATTACAATTAAACTTTCTAAAACAGAAGAAAAATATACAAATCTGAGGATGCACATCAAATGACAGCACATATAAAGAAACAAATCCAATATCTTCACATAATCTACTGTAAGTTTCAAAGAAATGGAATAAAATGTCAAAAATATAAAATGTAAAAAAATGTTGAAATGTACTACCTGGTCAGAGTATATTATCAGAAGGTCTTAATTTGGCTCTGAAACATTGTGTACTTCATTGATGCCAGGGAAACTTAGACAGCAGTTTGATGCAGTTTGTGAGCTCACAATGAAAAAGCCAAATAAGGTAGTAACAAGAAAAAAGGATAGGATTAGCCTAGGCAAGGATATTAAAGATTTATATAAACATGTGATAAGTATAAATTCAAAGATTACAAAAATCATAAAAAGCACCCAGACATTACTGTAGGAAATAAATTAGAATTAAATAGATAAAAATTTTTGGAAGAGAAATAAGAATGAAATACACACACACACACACACACACACACACACAGAAGTTGCTGAAATATAAGACATTAAATTTACAGTAAATAAAAGAAAAAAAATCAGAAATTGAACACATAGTATATACCACTTTCCATCAAGTGGAAATGACTGCATCTGTTGATAGTAATCTTAAATTCAAGGAGGAAAAAGGATGAGTGACCTTGTGGAATATTTCTTTTTTTAAAATTTCATAATATTATAGGGGTAGACACGTTTTTGTTACATAATTTGCTTTTGTATTGTTTGAGTTATAAGTTATAAGTGTGCCCTTCATAAAGCAAATCCTGCTCAATCTAAACAAAATGTTAAACAGCAGCACCATAATAGCTGGGGACTTCAACACCCCACTGATACAACTAGACAGATCCTCCAAACACAAAATAAGCAAAGAAAACATGGACTTAAACAGAACTCTAGAACAAATGGGTCTAACAGACATTTAGAAAACATTCTATGCAAAAACTACTGTAATATTTCTTTGTTGTAATTGTTTGTTTCATTTCTCTGTTTTAAGATCAACATACTTTGTGTTTAGGTGCAAAAGATATATCTGAGGTATTATAGATTTCAATATATGTAGTTTATGTAGCATCGTTGTGCTGTTTGCTTTGGGGAAGACAAAAACGTAAAGTGTTCAATAAAGTCTAATGATAGTCCCTCGGTGCTGCTAGCAAACAGTTACAGTGTTAAAAAGCACAGAGGTTTGGTTATAAATCATCTTTGAGTACTATAATAAAGTTTATAAAAGATATATCAACAGCTTATATCGTATGTAGAAAGGAATATATTTTTGTACTTTTTTTGCCTTCCTATTTTTTCTGTTTTTTAGTAAGTTGTAAAATCACTTTTATATGGAAAATGTTTTCAGTGAAAGGAGACAAAAACCAGAAAGTAAAATTCATCATGATCAGAAAATTGTATATTCAACCAGCAAATATCAAATAGGATAAGTAGGGTAGAACTGGAGTATATTTCATTTATATTTTCCACCTTTGGCCAGTTAATCTGTATAGAAGAATTTGTTCATTTTACATAGGTGGTTTTCTGGCAATTCTCTTTCTCCTTGTTTTTGATTCATTTCAGTAATGTTAATTGTTAGACAAGAAAATTAAAAGACCTATAATATGACAAAGCTTTGACACTCAATAAACCATATTTCTGAAAAGAAAAAAGAAAAAATTGTAGAAGATATATTAAACAAATATCATACCATATACAAAGATAATTATTAAGGTTAGATGCCAATATCAAAATATAACCTATTGGAACCTTCACAAGGCAAGGATAAAGTTAAAAGCCATAAAGATCCTAAAAAGGAAATAATATATTATCAGGAAAGGTGAATATTCAAAACTGACTTAGGATGACTTTAAAGTATTGTGTACATGAATATTGCCAGAGTAATATGGGATTTTGAGAAAGTCTCTGATCTCACAATATAAATGCCAGACAAGAAGGCCGTAAGTTCACAATGGTAAGATTGCCAAAGACTAAAATATTAAAACTCTATATATGCAAGTGGTAGTTCAATATTGTAAAGGCAAAAAAATTCAGAAACGCAATCAGAAAATATGTGAAAATGTTTTCCAATTATAGAATAAAGAAATGAATTATTTGGAAGGAGCAATAATACACTGACAAGCATATACATGATAATTGCAGAAAATTAGATGATCATAATTTCATTTTAAAAAACAACCATGAAATATCACACCCAATAAACAAAGGAACCCAATATCTGTACACAATCTACTACGATTTTCAAAGATCAAGGAACAAATCAGAAAACTAACAAACCAGGAAAATGTCAAAGCTGTCATTCAATAGACCTTCACAGTTAGATTTTTTTTAAGAAGTAAATTTCCAGACCTAAGGATGAAAATGAATCACATTTCATAGCATATAATGAAAGAGAACCAATCAAGACTTAATCTACTAGAAGTGTCAAATATCAGACATAAAGTCAGAAAATGACAAAATGCCAATTAAATACAAAATATATAAACAAGGAAAAGGTAGACTAACAGATTAGTCTAAGTTGCCATTGAAGCACTGGTTTCTACAAGGTAACCAGGACAACTAAGTTGTGAGGGGATTTCATGCCACACAATGAAAAACCCAAGCAAAATGACCATATATTCACAGTCCTAGGATTGACCTAGTCTAAGATAATGAAGCTGTAAGTATACAAGAGAGAGATATAATTTCAGAGAGAAAAATAAAATAAAAAAACACTCAGAGGATAAGGTATAAATTACAGTGTAATGAACATAATGAAAAAGATCAGAAATTAATGTTTCGAAAGCACAATAATAGAACAAACCACACGGATAAGGGAAGCAGGACGTTACTGAAAAATAGATGAGTACAATCAGATTTTTATAGAACAGGAAAAATATCCAGATCTCAGGATTTACATCACTCAAACAACAGATCATATAATGAATGGAAGCCAATAGCTAGACATAAAATACAGGAAGATTCAAAGAACTAGGATAAAGTAAGAAATGTACAAAATTTAGAAACTGTCTAATTATATTACTTGGTGAGAGTATACTATCAGAAGAATCCAAACTGCTTCTGAAACATTGTGTACTTATAGGGTACCTGGAAAACTTAAACAGCAATTAGATACATTTTCTGAGCTCACAGTGAGAAAGCCAACCAAAGTGGATACATGATCACACAGATAGGATTGGCCTAGAGGAGGAATTTAAAGATATATACAACCATGTGATAAATATGAATTCAATGATCAAAGAAAACAGAATCATGAAAGGCATTCAGATATTATGGTATAAAATCTATTGTGATCAAGTACATAAAGAATGATTTGGGAAGAGGAATAACTGAACAGCACATATATGAAAGGTTACTCAAAGAAGAAACATACAAATGAAAATAAGAAAGGAAAATCATTTCAGAAGACAAAACTTAAACAGAAATCACATTGCATAGAAGGGTGATGATTAAGGTATGATGCCAATAGCTCAATATGAGCTACTATAACATTCATACTTTAAGCATAAGGTTAAAATTATCCAAATATTCAGGAAAGGAGAACAAAGGCATTATTGGGAAAAATGAATTATCTAAACTGACCTTAGCTGTCTTTGTAGCACTCTGTACAACAAGGTTGCCAGAGCAACTTAGAATTATGAGGGAGTTTCTGACTTCACAATACAAAAGACAACCAAGATGGACATATTCTCACAGTACTAGGATTGCCATCTAGACCAAGATATTAAAGATATTTATAAACAAGTGATAGCTCAAAATTATAAAGACAGAAACAATTTTAATAAGGCAATCAGATATTATGTGTAAGTTATTTTCTCACAAATCCAAAAAGAATGTATGATTTGGAAGGAATAGTAGTAGGCAGATCAGCATGTGTATGGGAAATTGCAGGAAAAGAGAACATTACAATGACATTTTCAGAAAAGACCCCAAATTTCCAAGTGTGGCTGCAAGTCTATGAAATATCACACTCTATAAAGGGAGGAAGCCAGTATCTGTCCACAATCTACTAAAATTTTTAAGATTCAAGCAACAAGTCAGAAAACTAACAAATCCAGAACAAGTAAAAAATATAGACACCTACAAGGGTAAACGACCAGACTGTCCTAAAGTGGCATTTAGAATTTCTGTACATGGAGGATTCAAGGACAACTTAGAAAGAAGTTGGATGCAGTTTCTGAGTACACAATGAAAAAGCCAACAAAGATGGAAACGTGTTCAGAGACAGATGACTGTACTTGCATATGATATTAAAGCTATGAGTATATATATATATATATATATATATATATATATACACACACACACACACACACACATAACTTTACAGGTAAAAAATAAAGAAAATAAGAGTCATGTAGATCATAGGGTAAAAAGTTTCTTATGATTCACTAGTATAAAGATGAAAGATTTTTATAAGCATTAAATCAGCAGATATAAGGGAAGCTGCTGTTGAACTGTCTTTCACAGTTAGATTTTCTTAAGGAGTAAATTTCCAGTCCTGAGGATGAAAATGAATCATATTTCACACCATATGAATAAAGGGAGCCAAAATCTAGCATCATCTACCGGAAGTGTCAAAAACTAGGAATAAAGTCAGAAAATGACAAAATTCTGAAGAAGTAATACATTACAAGGAAAAGATAAATTATCAGGCTGGTCTAAGGTGGCACTGAAGCATTGGGTAATACAAGGTAATCAGGAAAAATTAGATGTTGAGAGAATTTCATGCCTCACAATAAAAAAGCCAACAGAGAGGGCCATATATTCATAGTTCTAGAACTATGAATACCTATGAACTAGGTATACTTAGACTAGGGCATTGAAGATATAAATATACAGGAGAGAGATATAGTTTCAAATAGAAAACCAAAAATAAAAAAAAATAAAAATTTACTCTGCTGCTATGGTATGAAATACAGTTCAATAAAAAAGATAACAAATGAATATTGTGAAAGCACAAAATAGAATAATCCACATTGATAAGGAGAGAGGGAAATAACTGAAAAATAGATGAGTACAATTAGATTTTTATAAAAGCACAAAAATATGCATGTCTGAGGATTTACATCAATCAAAGGACAGAGCATATAATGAAAGCAAGCCAAATCTGGACATAATCTACTGGAAAGTTCAATGAACTAGGATATAGTGTGAAATGTACAAAATTCAGAAACTCTCTAATTATATTACTTAGTGAGAGTATACTATCAAAAGAATCGAAGCTGCCTCTGAAGCATTGTCTTCCTTAAGGGTGTCTGGACAACCTAAACTGCAGTTTGGGACACTTTCTGAGCTCACAATGAAAAATCCAGCCACAGTGGAAATTTGATCAAAGGGACAGCATTGGCTTACACTAGGATTTTGAAAACATATACACGCATGTGATAAATATGGATTCAATAATCAAAGAAAACAAGATCCTAAAAGGCATTCGGATATTGAAGTAGGAAATCTCCTGTGACCAAGTAGATAAGGAATGATTTGGAGAGAGGAATAAGAGAGTGTACAGGGCATATATGAGTGGTTGCTTAAAGAAGGGACATGGAAATTAGTGCCAAAAAAGAAAACCATTTCAGAAGAAAAAAACTAAACCAAAATCACATTGCATATCAATTTTATCATTAAGGTAAGGTGTCAATATCTCAAGAACTACCATAACTTTTAAACTTTAGGCATAACATCAAAATGACCTAAAAATTTGGAAAAGAGGAAAAAATATATTTTGGGAAAGGGGAATTATCAAAACTAATCTGAGCTGGCTTTGAAGCACTGTTTACATCATGGTTGCCAGAGCAACTCAGAATTTTGAGGGGACCTCATAATGCCAATACCAACCAAGATGGCTATATGTTCACAGTACTAGTATGGGCTCTTAAAATAGGATATTAAACATATGTATACATCAGTGGTAGTTCAAAATTTTGAAGACAGAAAAAATTTTGAGAAGGCAATCAGATATTATGTGTAAGTTATTTTCTCATGGATCAGAAAAGAATATATGATTTGGATAGAGCCATAGTAGGTTGAACACCAAAGTGTATGAAAAGTTACAGGAAAAGGGAACATCACAATTACATTCCCAGAAAAGACCAAAAATTTCCAAGTGTGGCCACAAATCTATGAAATATCACACTGCATAAATAGAGGAAGCCAATATCTGTCCACAATCTACTAAAATTTTCAAAGTTCAGGCAATGAGTCAGATACCTAACAAATCCAGAATATGTCAAAATTATAGACATCTGAAAAGGTAAATGAGCAGACTGTCCTAAGGTGGCTCTAAGAGTTTCTGTACATAGAGGAATACAGGACAACTTAGAAGATGGATGATATTTCTGAGCACATGATGGAAATTCCAACCAAGATGGAAATCTATTCTGAGCAGAGGATTGGACTCTTCTAGGATATTAAAGGTACGAATACATTGTGAAATATATAAATTAAATGATAAAATTTTTTTAAAATGTGTCATGTAGATAATTTGGTAACAAATTTCTCATGATTCACTAGTTGAAAAACAAGAGCTTTAGAAGGAGCAGTATAGAAGCAGATAAAAGGGTAGCTATCATTTAACAGACTTAGACAATTAGACTTTTTCAAGAAGTAAATTTCTAGACTTGAGGATGAAAATGAATCACATTTCACACCATATGAAGATAGGGAAACAATATCTGGACATAATCTACTGGAAGTGTGAAAGATTAGGGATAATATCAGAAATTGAGAAAATGCTGATGAAGTAAAAACTATATTACAAGGAAAAGGTAAATTAGCAGATTGGTCTAAACTGGCCCGGAAGTAGTGTATACTACAAGGTTATCAAGACAACTTTGATGTTGAGGGAATTTCATGCCTTACAATGAAAATGCCAACCAAGATGGCCACATATTTTTAGTTCTGGATTGACCTAAACTAGGGTATTATAGAGATTTACACATAAGTGAGAGATATAAATTCAGAGAGAAAAACAAATTGAAAGCACACTCAGATGGTATGGTATAAAATACAGTGTAATTCAAAAGATCAGAAATGAATATTTTGAAAGCGCAATAATAGAATAAACCACACAGATAAGGGAAGCAGGACATTACTGAAAAATAGAGGAGTACAATTAGATTTTTATAAAAGCAGAAAAATATCCAGGTCTGAGGATTTACATCATTCAAACAACAGACCATATAATGAATGTAAGCCAATCTTTGGACAAAATCTACTGGAATTTTCAAAGATATAGGATAAAGTGTGAAAAGTACAAAATTCAGAAACTGTCTAATTATAATACTTGGTGAGAGTGTACTATCAGAAGAATCAAATCTGGCTCTGTAACACTGTGTTCCTGAAAGGTGCCTGCCTAACCTAAACTGCAGTTTGAGACACTTTCTGAGCTCATAATAAAAAAGCCAGCCAAGCTGGAAATATGATCAAAGAGATAGGATTGGCCTTGAGAAGGATTTTCAAGATATATACACACATGTGATAAGTATAAATTTAAATATCTGAAAAAAATAAGATCCTACAAGCCATTCAGGTATTAAGGTAAAAATTGTATTTTGACAAAATAGATAAGGAGTGCTTATAAAAAGTGATAAGCAATTTAGCACCATGATGAGACGTTTCTGAAAAACACGATAATTATTGTTAAAAAAAGAGGCTTTGTGGGCGGAGGGGGGAAATGGGCATTTATTGAGACCTTAAAATCTGTTCCCCATAATATGCTGAAAAAAAAAAAAAGAGGCCAGGCGCGGTGGCTCATGCCTGTAATCCTAGCAATCTGGGAGGCTGAGGCAGGTGGATTATTTGAGGTGAGGAGTTCAAGACCAGACTGAGCAAGAGCGACACCCTGTCTCTACTAAAAAAAAAAAAAAATAGAAAGAAATTAGCTGTACACCTAAAAATACACACACAAAAAATTAGCTAGGCATCATGGCGCATGCCTGCAGTCCCAGCCACTCAGGAGGCTGAGGCAGGAGGATTGCTTGAGCCCAGGAGTTTGAGGTTGCTGTGAGCTAGGCTGACGTCACAGCACTCTAGCCTAGGTGAGAGAGTGAGACTCTGTCTCAAAATAAAGAGAGTAATATTTCACAAGGCATAATTTAAACAAACATCATACCACATAGCAGGGAAATGGTTAATGCAAGATGCCAATATGTACATATGAACTACTGGAACTTTCAAAAGTTATGCATGTAGCTAAAATAACATAAAAATTCAGAAATGGAAAAAAAGATATTATTGAGAAAGACAGAATTATCAAAACTGACCTAAGTTGGCTTTCAAGCACTGTGTGCAGGACGGTTGCCAGAGCAACTTTGTATTATGATAATGTACCTGACCTCTCAATGGAAATACCCACCTAGATGAACACGTTTGTAGTTCTTGGTTTACCTTAGATTTTTAAATATCTTTAATACATATGTATATATACAAAATATAGATGAAATTTAATAATGCTCAACAATATTCACAGGGTATTCAAATCTTATGACATTAAATGAATTTTAATTAATGAGGTAAGAAATGAATAATCAAGATGGAGCAATGCTAATGTAAAAATCCAAAAATTGGTGGTTGCTAAAAACAGATCATCTCAATTTATTTTTTAAAAATAACATAAAATTTCTAGAATTTGGAATGAAAATTAATCAAAATCATACTATATAATGTAAAGACAATAGAAGCCAATATTGAGACATAATGTGAATGTTTCAAAGATGATAATTGAAATGAGACAAGTGCAAAATTCTGAAATGATAAAAAATATAATGCTTGCTCTGTTCCTTAAGATTGTCAGGAAAACTTAGATTTTTGTTGGAATTATTTCTAACCTTATTATGAAAGAGCCAACCAAGATGGCCAATGGCTACATATTCTTAGGGGTAGTATTGAACTAGATTAAAATGTTAAAGGTGTACACACACACACACACACACACACACACACGCATGCACACACATGATAGACAAAATTCAAAGACAAAAATAAAAAAAATTAATAAGATATTTAGATTCAGATATTATGGTATAAAATATACTATAAAGAAAGAAATGAATGATTTGGAAGGAACAATAATATAGAGAAAAAGCAAATATAAAAGGATCTTTCTAAAAAATAACCCATAATGATTACATAAAAAGGAAATATTAAAGAAAATGTTACCAAGAAACATAATTTGAATATCTTACCAGCTATGAGAACAATCATAAAAGAAAGATGCCAATATCTAAACATAATCTGATTGAATTTTCAAAAGTCATGAATAAAGTTAGAATCCCATAGAAATATGGATATGGTAAAATATCCAGCACCTGGAAAGGGTGAATTATTAAACTGGTCTTAGATGGCTCTGAAACATTGTATACATGAATGTTTCTAGACAACTTAGAAATATGTAAAAATTTCTGAACTTAGAATAAAAAATTCAGCCAAGCTTGCCAAATCCACACATTACTAGGATTCACCAAAATTAGTATATTAAAATTATAATTCATTCACCTGTATAATTAAAATTGGACCTTTTAAAAAACAAAATAAAACATGCAGATTTATGTCATAAAATTTTGATACTAAAGAGATCAGAAACTTCAATAATGTAAGAGGATTAATAATATAGTCACTCTTCATAATGATTTTGCTAAAAAATGGACTTTTAAAAATAGATGAGAGCAATCTAATAAAATAAAAACATCCCTAGCTGAACACATGAATCAACTTATAAATTTACCACTTAAAATCTTAATAATAATAATTATTATGAATTATAATAAAAACAAGCCAACATCTATGCAATGTCAGCTGAAATATCCAATGGCAGGGATAAAATGAGAGCCACATCATTATTTAGAAAAGAAAAAATAATGTTCATGAAGGATGAATTATGAGATTGCTCTGAAATTTTTCTGAATGTTTAGTCCTAACAATAGGTGGGAATTTATGCCAAATTTTGAGAGACTCTATGACATAAAAATGTAAAACCCAATAAAGTTATGTTAGGATATTTAAAGATATACTCCACTCACCTAATAAATAAAAACTTAAACATTTAAAAGATTTTAATATACAAAAGGAGTTATATAAAAGGAATTATATGTTTTTCCATTTGCTTGTGTCATCTACAATTTTTCTCCTCAGTGTTTTGTAGTTTTCTTTGTAGAGAATATTTGCCTCCTTGGTTAAGTATATTCCTAGGTATTTCAGCTTCTTTGTGGCTACTGTTATGGTATTGAGTCTTTGATTTGACTCTTAGCTAGACTGCTATTGGTGTATAGGAATGCTACTAATTTGTTTACATTGGTTTAATAACATGAGACTTGCTGGATTTATTTCTCAATTCCAGGAGTCTTTTGGTGGAATATTTGGGGTTTTCTAAATATAAAATCACATCATCATCAAAAAGCAATAGTTTGCCTTTCTCTTTCCTAATTAGGATACTCTTTATATTTATACTCATTTCTTTCTCTTGTTTTATTGTTCTGGCTAGGACTTCCAGCACTATGTTGAATAGAAGTGGTGAAAGTGGATACCCTTGTCTTGTTCCAGTTCTTAGTGGGAATGGTTTCAATAAATCCCCATTCAATATGATGTGGGCTGTGGGTTAGTCATATATATGGCTTTAAAATTTTTGAGATGTGTTTCATATCATGCTCATGGATTGGTAGAATCAATATTGTTAAAATGTCCATACTCCCAAAGTGATTGACAGAGTCAATGCAAACTCTATCAAAATACCAATGCCATTTCTCACATATCTAGAAAAAATAATTCTATGCTTTGTTTAGAAACAGAAAACAGCCTGAACAGCCAAAGCAACCTTAAGCAAAAGAAACAAATCTGGAGGCATCATCTTACCAGACTTTAAGCTATACTACAAAGCTATAGTAAACAAAACAACATGGTACTGGCACAAAAATAGAGACATAGACCAATGGAACAGAACCCAGAACCCAATTATAAAATCCTCCACATATTGCTATCTGATCTTTGACAAAGTAGAGAGCAATATACACTAGAGAAAAGAATCCCTATTCAATAAATGGTGCTGGGAAAATTGGATAGCCACATGTAGAAGATTGAAACAGGATCCTTACCTCTCAGCACTCACAAAAATTAATTCAAGGTTAATAACAGACTTAAATCTAAGACATGAAGCCACAAGAATTCCAGAAGAATATGTTAGAAAAAATCTTCCAGATATTGGCCTAGGCAAAGAATTTATGAAAAGGGCAATCACAGTAACAACAAAAATAAATAAATGAAACTTGATTAAATTAAAAACCTTCTGCACAGCCAAGAAAACAATCTACAGCAAATAGACAACCCAGAATGGGAAAAAATATTTGCATGCTATACATCTGACAAAGGGCTAATAACCACAATCTACAAAGAAATCAGGCAAATCAATAAGAAGAAATCAAACAACCTCATTAAAAAGTGGCCAAAGGCATAAACAGAAGGTTTTCAAAAGAAGATAGACTAATGGCCTATAAACATATGAAAACATTATCAATGTCACTAATCATCAGAGAAATGTAAATCAAAACCATAATGAGATATCACCTAACCCCAGTGAGAATGGCTTTTTATCAAAAAGTCCCAAAACAACAGATGCTGGCATGGATGTGGAGAGGAAAGAACACTTACACTGTTGTTGGGCCTGCAAACTAGTGCAAACTCTATGGAAAATAGTATGGAGATTTCTCGAAGTACTAAAAGTAGACTTATCATCTGGTCCAGAATTCCCACTACTGGATATTTACCCAAAGGAAAATGTCACTTTATCAAAAAGACACTTTCACTTGAGTGCTTATTGCAGCACAATTCACAATCACAAACATGATATCAAACCAAGTGCCCATCAATTTATGAATAAATTAATAAAATGTGGTATATAGATACCATGGAGTACTACTCAGCCATAAACAAAGATGAATTAATGCCTTTTGCAAAAATCTGGATGGAACTGGAGATCACCCTCCCAAGTGAAGTATCACAGGAATGGAAAAACAAATACTACATGTACTCACTATTAAATTGGAACTAGCCAATCAGCACTCATGTGCACAGATAGAAGTAAAACTCAATTGAAATCATGCAGGTGGGAGGGGGGGAGAGGAGAGGATGAGTGAAATACTACATAATGGGTACAGTGCACACTATCTGGGTGATGGGCACGATTATAACCTTGAATCAAGCAGTACAAAAGCAATCCATGTAACCAAAACATTTGTACCTCCATAATATTCTGAAATAATTTTTTTAAAAAGTACCTGTAGCAACACAATAAAGAAAAACCAGATAATAACCACATAGTAAGGATTACTGGGGAGACTAGCATACATGAAATATTTAGAGATGGCTAATAACAAAGAACAAGGGCTAGGGCTATAAGTATATGACATATAGTAGGTGCAACCAAGGTCCCCAGTGACCTGCTCTTCAGAGGACACAGGCAGCATTTATCACTGAGGAAACCAAGAGCCTTTGCCACTGTGAAATCCCCAGAGAAAGATTTGCTGTTGTGCACTCCCCACTCTCAAAAAGAAGCCAATGCCGTGCCATCCTGGGTCCAATATTCTCCCCATAGCTCAACTGTGGCTGCTCTGGATATACCTATTGTATAGATACTGGCTCCATGGCTGCACCATGGATGCCTACACCTCAGACACTAGAGTTACCACTGCTGAAGGCTAGCCATTCCACAGGCCCTGGAGCCAAGGTTACTCTGTGCTCAACTGCACTCCAGACCCTGTTTCCATGGCCACTTAATGAGCACCATGCGTCAGACACTAGTGCCATCATCATTGTAAACACATCTACAAACTGGGCATGGTGCCTAACGGGATTCCCTTGGCCATGACATCCCCCTTGAGAGAAAATATTAGAAATATCCCAACAGGTCTTACTTTTCTGTGGACACCCACAGCCTTGGCCACACAGGACCACTGCAATCTTTGTAGACACTAACTAACCTAAGCTGACAGAGCAGCAGAGAGAGAGACTACATATTTACTTTATAACCAGAGCCTAAATGCCACACTCCACCAGGTGGAGACCTTGTACCTCCCCATAGGTGAAAGTATTTTCCCACTGAAATCAGTCCATAGAGTCTGGAAGAGGTAACTGCTCCATCCAATGCAAGGACATCCATGCAAGGCAACAGAAAACATGACCCATGGTCCCATCAATGTAATACTATAATTTTCCTGTAATCAACCTGAAAAAAACCTCTATGAATTACCTGATAAGGCATTCAAAATAATTGTTTTAAGAATATTCAGCAAGTTTCAAAACAGTACTAATAGGCAACTCATTGAAATCAGGAAAATAATGCATAAACAAAATGAGAAGTTCAACAGTGAGATATGTTGTGAATTCCCATAATTTTATGTTGCCTCAACATCAATTTTAAATGCCAGTTTAACTTTCTCAGACCAAAGCAGCACTCAGGCACCCTTGAAACAGTTTTTGGTTCTACACCACAGCCAATGGCTCAAGCCAGTGGCCAGAGATAAGAACTTAAAGACATCTTTTCCACCTAGCAAACAGGACTCCTTGCTTTCCTGCCACTTTCTTTAAAAAGTCTGTTCAATTATTTGCCCACGAACTTAAAGTGACTCACACCTTATTGCCTTATATATACTGCTAATGGTTATATTCCTCTTTTCTCCTCTGCTTGACTCTTCATTCCTGCCTCTCATGACCTGAGGATGGAGCACTGCCTTCACAACTAATCATGCTCTCCTTGTCCAGAGTCTGTAAGTAAAATCTTTGAACTTGTTTTTTTTTTTTTTATTGTGGTGTTATATTGAATTTGTGCCTTCCATCTGAAAAACTAGGGGCTGCCCCAGGCTGGTTTTCTCTGGGATGCCAGGAAGAACAAAAGTTTGGGTTTCTAGAACAGAGTAATAGTCAGGCAAGCGAAATCTGGACAAAGGTCAGACAAGAACCAGAAAGGTGTCTGCCAGTAGAAAGAATTTCCTATGTGAGGGACCCCCAGTTGCAGGTAGAAACACTAGTATTAGACTGTCTGTCAGGTAAAAGAATTAACATGTGAAAGGTATGTGATAAAAACTCTTGTCCAGCTCCCCTTGACCTCCCATCAGGGCAGGGTTGCTAGCTGCTCCAGTTTTGGAACCCCAAATTTAGCTAAGGGCTTTCAAAACAAGATAGAAAATTCAAATGTACCAAATAGAAATTCTGGAGATAAAGAATACAATGAATTGAATGAAAACATGCAATAAAGACTATCAACAGTAGACTTCATCAAGCAGAAGAAAATAATCTGTAAAGTCAAAGATAGGTCATCTGAAAATATCTGACTATAAGATAAAAAAGAAAGAAAAGAATAAAAAGGAATGAAAAAAGCCTATGGGATTTATAGAAAACCATCACAAGAGCTACCATTTGCATCATAGGATTTAAAGAAGGAGAAGAGAGAGAGAAAGGGACAGAAAACGTACTTTAAAAAATGACTAAAAATTTCCAAAATCAGGGGAAATATATATATATATATATATATATATATATATGTGTGTGTGTGTGTGTGTGTGTGTGTGTATCCAGGCACATTAAACCCAAACATATCTAATCAGATTCAACACAAGGAAAATTTCACCAATAAATACTATAAACTTGTACACACACAAAAAAAATAAAAATCAAAGTCAAGGAGAGAATTTTTAAAGCAGCAAGAGAAGTTCTTCACATACAAGGACGTATCCACAAGGCTATAGGTGGCTGTTTTAGCAAAAACTTTTCAAGTCAGAAGACAGTGAGATGATATTTTCAAAGTGCCAAGATTTAAAAAAGAACTCATATCAAACAAGGATATTTTACCCTGCAAATCTGTCCTTCAGAAATGAAAGATAAAGACTTTTCCAGAAAAACAAAAGCTGAGCGAGTTCATCACCATCAGACCTGCCTTGTAAGAAAGCCTAAAGGAAGTTTTTCAAGCTAAACTTTTAAAAGAATACACAAATTTGCAACATAAAAACATATAAACATATAAAATACACTACTAAAAGTAAGTATATTATAAAATTCAGAATATTCTAATACTGTAATGGTGGTACGAAAATCAATTATATCTCTAACATAAAAGTTAAAAGGGAAAACTATTAAAATAATTATAGCTGCAATAATTATAATGGAGACAAAGTATAAAAAGATACAATTTGTAACATCAAAAACAAAATGAGAGAGGGATTAAAAAAGTGTAGAATTTTTATACATAATGGAATTTGAGTTATTATAGCTATGATATGTTATGTGAAAGTCTCATGATAACCACAAAGCAAAAATCCATAATAGTAAGAATTTTAGGAGGGGTTTCACAATGGCTGCCTAGAGGCATCTCTTGCTCACCTCCTTTACTTAGAAGAAACAAAATAATGAGGAGATAATCACACTTTGAATACATTATTTAAGAGAGAACACTGGAATTTTACAAAAAAGTAGCAGGAAACACTGAAAGAAAGGAAAAAGAGAGGGAAGCCTACTTTACCAGGATTGTCTAGGATCTGGGAGTGATTTCCCAACAGGAAGAAAGTGGAAGTGAGAGACTTCCAGTGACCCATGTCCCTGTAATGAAATCATGCAGTCCTGGCGACGAGAGGCCCTCCACCTTCCCAATCCCTGAAACTAACATAGGAAGCTGCCAGGAGATCGTGAGATGGAACTGCTCCAGTAAGACAGCTCACTTTGTGTCCCTTTCTAAGACCTAAGTGACTCTACAGCAAGGCACGATATTCGATTCTATCCTTTAACAGACCAGTGGCACGGAGACCGAGACATTAGAAAAACTCAGGCTGTTGCTCCTGGGCCTGGTACATAAGCTGGCAATGTGCTCCTGTAGGCAAGGCTTAGAATTGAGCAAACTGTGGGCTATGGCTGCCAGTTCTGGAAAGCAAGCACCATCAGAACTGAGACTGGGATACAAACAGGGCAGGAGTTGCTGCTGGTATTTTATCACAAGCTAGTCAAAGTTGGGGCAAAGGTGCAAACTAAACACAGGCTACCGGCATCAAGAATAGGGGGATAGGCCGGGCGCAGTGGCTCACACCTGTAATCCTAGCATTCTGGGAGGCCAAGGCAGGAGGATCACTTGAACTCAGGAGTTTGAGACCAGCCTGAGGAAGAGTGAGACGCCGTCTCTATTAAAAATAGTAAAAATTAGTCAAGTGTGGTTCTACTTGCCTGTAGTTTCAGCTATTCGGGAGGCTGAGGCAGGAGAATCACTTAAGCCCAGGAGTTTGAGGTTGCTGTGAGCTAGGATGATGCCACCACACTCCAGGCCAGGCAACAGAGTGAGACTCTGTCTAAAAAAAAAAATAGGATATCCCTTGGTTGTGGCCACCAAGGCCAGGTCCAACCTCTCCCGTGGCAATGCCTCACTGTGAATGATATTGTGCCTCACATGAGCAATCGATCTGGGACCCCATCCCCTCCAACAACAGTTGGTGCCAGCAATTAACACTGGGAGGCCTGAGCACAAGCTCACCCAGCCCAGCTCTGAGACAGAGCACATATACTGGTATCCTGAGGATTGCCCAAACCAATCCACCATCTCAGGCACCTGGGCATTCCTCCCAGAGGCCTGAGGTTTGGCATAAACACCTGGCTGCTACCACTTCAGCTGGCACCTACCTACCTGCAAGCCCTATCTGTGGGCCTCGAGACTGACCTGCTGAGCCCATCAAAGCCACTGACAGCACCAAGAAACACCACTCAGGACTCAGATAATCATCTTGCCACTGCTAATTCTATCACCCATGCCACACTGACTGCCCAGGGGCCTGAGGTCCTACCCACCAGTCCAATCCGCTGCTGTTACCACTGGCATCCAAGAAGGCTACCTGTAAGACCATGAATTAGTAATCAGTAACCACCAAAACCAATATCAATGTATAATGCCCTGGGACATAAAGGTAGCCAGCCTCAGCCCACAGCTGCCACCACTGAGGCCTGAAGTCTGGCTAACCTGGCATATAAGTACCCAGCACAATTTCACCACAGCCTCCACTATTAACTGCACACTAAATACTAAGGAAATCACAGATATCACTAATGTATACAGCCCAAGGAATCATAGAGACTATACTACATGTACCCAGAATCAGAGCCAAAGAACCCTACCCAACTGACACCATATAAACATCTTCAGGAAAAAGTTCACTGCTACAAAAGTAATTCAAATTTAGAAAGAAGTGGCTCTTTAAAAAAATGAGCAGATATCAATGTAAGGAGACAGAAAACATGAAAAATATAAGGAAATATGATATATCCAAAGGATCACAATAATTATTTTTATTTATTTATTTAGTTTCTTTTTTAAATTTCAGAATGTTATGGGGTACAAAAGTTTTGGTTACATATATTGCCTTTGCATCGCCCATGCCAGAGGTAACAGTGTGCCCATCCCCCAGAGACTGTGCTCCACACCCATTAATTATAAATTTACCCATCCCTTCCATCCCCCTCCCAATGGCCTGACACCTAATGAATATTACTTCCATGTGTGCACCTAAGTGTTGATCAGTTAGTACCAATTTTATGGTGAGTATATGTGGTTCATATTTTTCCATTTTTGTGATACTTCACTTGGAAGAATGGCTTCTAGCTCCAGCCAGATAATAAAAGAGGTGCTAATTAACTATTGTTTATTATGGTTGAGCAGAACTCCATGGCATACATATACCACATTTTATTAGCCCACTCATGGATTGATAGGCACTTGGGTTGTGTCACAACTTTGCAATTGTGAATTGTGCTGCCATAAATATTTGAGTGCACTTGAGTCTTTTTAATAGAATGTCTTTTTTCCTTTGGCTAAATAGCCAGCAGTGAGATTGCTGGATCAAATGATAGTTCTATTTTTTAGTTCTTGAAGTATCCCCATATTACTTTCCGTAGAGGTTATATTAGTTTGCAGTCCCACCAGCAGTGCATGAATGTTACTATATCTCCACATCCACACCAACATTTATTGCTTTAGGACTTGTTGAAAAAAGCCATTCTCACTGGAGATAAGTGATATGTCATCGTGGTTTTGATTTGCATTTCCCTGATGATTAGAGATGTTGAGAAATTTTTCATATATTTCTTGGCCATTAATTTGTCTTTTTAAAAGTTTCTGTTCACATCCTTTGCCTACTTTTTAATGGGGTTGATTTTTTTTCTTGTTAATTTTCCTGAATTCTATACATATTATAATTATCAGCCCTTTATCAGATGTGTACCACACAAGTGTTTTCTCCTATCCTGCAGGTTGTCTGTTTGCTAAAGTGACAGCTTCCTTGGCTGTGCAGAAGCTTTTTAATTTAATCACATTCTGTTTATTTATTTTTGTTGTTGCTGTGATTGCCTTTGGGGTCTTCTTCATAAATTCTTTTCCTAGGCCAATGTCTATAAGTGTTTTCCAACATTTTCTTCTAGAATTATTATAGTTTAATGCCTTAGGTTTAAGTATGTTATCCATTGTAAGTTGATTTTTGTGAGAGATAAGAGGTACAGATCCTGTTTCACTCTTCTAAATGTGGTTATTCAATTTACTCAGCACCATTTATTGAATATGGATTCTTTTCCCCAGTGTATGTTTTTGTGTGCTTTGTTAAAGATCAGATGACAGTATTAGGATGGTTTTATTCTCAATTCTTAGTCCTGCTCCCTTGGTTTATGTCTCTGTTCTTGTGCCAATACAATGCTGTTTTAGTTACTATAGCTTGTAGTATAGCTAGAAATCTGTCAGATTAATGCA